CATGAACAACACTGTCTAAACACTCTCAATGCTATGTTATGCATTCAGGTCAGTCTTTTTTTTTTTTTTTTTTATTGTCTTGGTTCCAGTCTTGTTTTTATCTTTGACATAATTGAAAGCATTCAAAAGTCCAAAACATATTTTCCCATCTCGCGTTAGCAGGCTTACAAAACGTGTGCAAAAGACAAATCAAATACAATCAGTGTACACAAAATAATAATATATTAAGCGTTCTTCAGCAGTAAAGACTCCAACAACTGTAAACGTGAAAACCGCAGACATCACAAAAATGTTTGATCATTCATACTTAAAATAGTAAAAGATAAATGAGTATATTTATCCGTATTTATAAAGGGGAAACTGCTGCTGCAGACTCCCTGAGCTCTGTAGGTAAGGCTCTCTGCTACAGTGCAGGCTCGCATCAAAAGCACTGAATGATCCCTGTTCTTATAGAGATGTTATCAAATGAGGAGGATGGTGAGTCTTAATAAAATGCAACACTTGCCAATAAGATGAGTGATCAATGTTGCAGAAAATGTATAAAAATGATTTTATTGCTGCAGCTGTACTTCAAATGTTGAAACTTCAGAATCATGTAAACATTAAATATTACTGTTCCATGACCTAAAACAAAAAACCATAATTTTCTTGATTAAATGGACGCTGTCAGTGTGTGTTCTGTGTTCCAGGAATCTGTTTAAAACAGACTGAGCAGTAGAGAAGAATTGTTTATTTAAATACTCCTATACATTTTCTTCCCATGACAATGCGGTGCAGTGTTTGCACTTCATTCGGTGGTTTTTATTGAGGTACAGCTCAACTACTTGCATATATAGGATGCATTCCCCCAGTAGAACCATTCTGTAAATAATAGAATCAGAGGAAAGATGGTGGAAAAGCCCTTAATACTTCACTCGTTCACCCAAGAACCAGTTTATCTGACATTTACACTCCAGTGGATGCATCATAGAGCAGCGTGGGGTTAGTATGTAACAACGATATGTAGCACCCAGGGATTGAATTACCAACCACTGCCATTAAGTAATGACCTGCTTTACCCTCTGGGTAACATCAGTATTAATCTAATAAAAGTAAGTGTTACTGCCCATTAATCTGGCTACAGTTGCAAGCCCATTTCTAAACAATATGAAGCTCATCGTTCTGCAGCGAGAAAGCATATTCACAAGTGGAAAACAGTCACGTGCCAACCCTCCTATGAGTGGACATCTCAACAAATTCAGTGTCAAATTTACTGTTCAAAGCTCGGAGAAGTGCGAAAAATAAACCAAGATCTGCAAACGTCAACAAACAGAACAATGTAGTGGCAATATGTGATGACAAGTATTCAGTTTTTAACACATGCAGAAGTCCTACACACATCAAAGTATTTATCATCATCTGGGAATCACGTCAAGCCGGTGGCCCTGAAGTTCTCACACATAAACTCTGTGGTCCCTGAGACTTTTAACCCGCTACAGTTCATCTAAAGCTCCAAAGGATCCGTGTACAAGGGCTCTCCACTGCAAAATACAACATCTAGACAGCAGCAGAAATTTATGCACTTCCTGGTTACACTTCTGCCTTTGATACAGTCAGACTAGGAAAGTTGACTGGCTGATTCTACCTGCAACTGTATTTTGGACTTCCTTGCTTTCTTCCTTCCTAACAATATGAAAACAACCACTTAAGAGTAAAACACTGAAGGTGTTGGTGAGGATGTGACCAAACTCCCAGCTGGCTACAGGGCTGCTCTCTCAACCCTTCACATTTCTCCCTGGACACCCACAACTGTGTTAATATCCAGGATAACACAGTCATCAATAAATATGCTGTACGTGATCATCCTGAGCCGCATACAAAACAGTGTGTAGAATGAAAATATATTTCCCAGAGGGGCCTGCTACAGTTTTTTGACATAAAATAACTCACCTACAGATATCGGGGCTCATCGGTGTCAGGAGTGTGGGTGTGAGGGAGTGGGACAGCCTGAGTCGGAGGCGTGATGTGGTGGCAGGTGGGCAGATTTAGGAAACAGTGATTTATACTTGTGTGCAGAGGTTAGCTAAACACACAGACACAGTGTTTTCTGTTAGAAACTACTAATAGGAGGAAAGTCGAACAGTTTCTTTCATGTGGACTTCTATACAAGTTTCATTTCCACCCCTCTCTTTTCTTGTTTGAAACCCAAACTTCACGTTTAACTAAGGCAATCCTACAGTCTAACCACTCCAGCGCTCAGGGGCAGATGGAAGTGCTGGCACCTGGACCAAGGCTAACTGGATGTCTCCTTTGTTGTGTCAGTTGACGTGAGGTCGAGAGTGAAGCCCACCCCGCCATCACAGCTGAGATCTTTTTATGTGATTAAAGATCAGACGGCTAATGTTTGAGTGTTGTGACTGTTAAACCCGTGAAATATAAATACATAAAAAAAAAAAAATTTAGTTTAACCAGTATAATGATTCAGAAAACAGAATAACAATGATAACAATAAATCATAATATCAGCCCCAGGATATGCAGGATGAGGGTGACACACTGGAGTCACTGATCTCCGAATGGCCGACTGACGTTTGATTTAATAAAAACAAGTTGCATTAAATAAATGGTGAAGTAGAAGAAAGTATTCCTCTGAATTAGTTCAAATGCATGTTCATGTGTCCTGAATGTGTAAACACGATGGAATTTTCTATGTTAAGAATGACAAAGAAAATGTAATGAAGGCGTTTCAAAGTTTGAACTTTGTGGTAAATCATGTAAATCAGAAGGATAGAGAGAGAATGGTGTGGGTGAACATCAGGTAATTAGACGTTCCCGGAGTGAGAAGATGTAACGTCCAGTCTTCCTGTTGGGATGTGTGTCCTCAGGCTTCTGGGGGCGTCGCTGCAGCTTCCCACCCTCATTATCAATAACATTTGTGACAAAGACACAGGCACACTCTCTACCTCACACACACACACTTATTTGTGTATAAAGTTTTGTGTTGTGGGTGCTGTGTCTGTTGTCTTCAGTTTTGTCTCCTACAGGTGCAGCAAGTGGTGATACATTGTGCTTTTCTAGTTGTTTCTATCCCCCATATCTACGCACCCCCCTGTGAGATCAACAGTTCAGGCAACAGGAGCTAAGACGTTCGCAGTGGAAAATACAGTGGAGATTTTGTAGTTTTTGGCTTTTCATCTGCTTTTTTTTGCAGTGTTGGATGGTTCATTCAGAAGGATATTGATTTAGATCATACTTCCAGCTGGTTTTTACACAGGGATAAGTGCATTTTCTGACCCAGTTGTGATGAGATTACTTTGTTTGGGATTATTACTCTTTGCTCCTGCTAAATTGCCTTAATAAACTTTTCACTTTTTATTCTTTCTAATGCAAACAGCTCGTACATGTTACTCTAACCTTTTAAAGTAAGCCTTGGGGCCCAGGCTCCAGGGCCCGTATCCCTAAAGAATCTTTGTGCAAAAAGTGGCTCCTAGCGGCCAAATTCTAAGAAAATTCTCAGAGTCATGACGTTTTCTTAGAATTTCCCCTAAAAGTGACATGACAATCCCAGTTAATATAAAAGCTATTCCTCAAGATTCCTAACGCTTAAAAGGGCTCCTAAGGCGAGATCTGCTAAGAGCAGGGAAGAGGACTTTTAGTGGCTTAGGAGTTCCCCTAAGCAGCTGCACAAAATGGCCAACAGAAGAGGCAGGAGAGATGTCCTGCAAACACTGGATGACAGGGAATTATTGAGACGCTACAGATTGGATCGTGCAGGAATCATGTTTGTGGTGGATCTCCTTAGAGATGCAATTACTTCACCAACTCGACGCCACAACACTATTACACCGGAGGCGAAAGTAATCACAACCCTGAGGTATTTGGCAACCGGGAAAATGCAACAATGCAGCAGTGATGACTTGGGTCTGCAATCACAGACATTGCTAAAAGCTGAGCCGTGTTACCCTCGTTAAGACCACACTGGACTTGTAACGTTGTGATTTCTACTTCATTAAGGACAGCCCCTTGAGATAGGCCATCTTGTTTTCAACAGGGTCCATATGGGAGTGAAAGTACAAAATATGTCAGCTAGGATATTAATATGAGCAAATAAGACACAAATCATTATTTGAACAGGGTGTAATGAGTTTAAGTTTTCACATATTTTAGATTCTAATGGCTATAACCCCTACAGCTTACTATTCATTTTCCAGATATTTTCTTGAATGTGAAATATTATTTACAATTACAGTCAGCATAAGATTAGAGTGTATAATTATGTTTATTGATTTGAGGGTACATCCTTTGCTCATTATCACCAAAAGCTCATTTCCATCAAACTTGTAGGTTCAACCAATCACGGCTTTTTAAATGATGACTCATACCTAGCAACGGGGTCAACCACACCTCCTCACTAAGATAGGATTTTCCATCCATTCCTTGCTCAGAGTTCACTGAAAATGTTCTGGAATCACTTCTAAGCTAAAACTCCTGGCAAGGAATTTTTAGGTTAAGTTAGGAGCTCTCTGAGAGGATTCTCAGAATCTTTAGGGATACGGGCCCAGGCCTCTAAAAACATCCCAGATAACAAGTGCTGCAGGTGTAACAGGTGTGACTGATACAATTTCACCTGCAAGGCTTCTCAGGTTTTTTCGTATCAGGGCAGGCAAGGCCCTGAACACCAAAGCAGCCAGTCTGGGCGAGTCCACTTACCCGCATTGGCTCCGTTGGCACAGGGTGAAACTCACAGATCAGAGATTAGGAGTGAAACAGGCTTCATGTACACAGAAGAAAGCTAATGCTAGGAAACAAACACGTTTGTAAGTTCTTTGTGAAGCCATGGTGATAGATTAATATTTTCATTAAAAAACAAACAAAGAGACACTAAGTGACTTTTCTATTTTCTAGGGCCGTGCTAGTGAAGATCCTCACATGTGCTGTGAAAATGGAGATTCATAAAGACCGCACATCGAAACAATCAACAGACAGTTTAATCACACACATACACACACAACAAGCTTGCACATTTGCGTCTTTCCTGCCATAATCTGCCTTATTCACAAGTGCAGTATATATTTCAACAAGATCACTCAGAGAGCACGTACTAAATCTGTTTCATGATGTTTTTATTACATTATAATGATGTAGACCTATTATGGAATCGTTGTGATGTTGTAAGCCATTGTACTGAAAAAAAAAAAAATAGGAGGTGTGTTGTACAGTTCTCTCCTCATATATACCATATACTGCTCATACGGTCTCATTTGTTTCTTTAGGGTCAACTTTGACCGTAAATGAAGATCAAGGTCAAATGCTTAGCCAGCTTAGGTACTCATGTCCCCAAAGGCCTCGTATGTTGTTGTGAAGTTTGAAAACAATCTTTAAAAATTGTGAGTGACATAAAGTTTTACTGATTTGGACATTTGATGTCACCTTTTTGTTCTTGCTTTCAATCAGCTCGAGCTGTTGGTGTCTATCATCAGATGCTAGACTGCTAACAAACAGACAAACAAATGGAACCGATCACCTACTCAGTGCTTTCAGGGGGACAATAATATTCTTTTCATACTTTAAGTGCAATACAAGAATTACTGTTATATACTTACTTAAATATTGTCCCCTTACTTTATCTCAGTGTGCAGCTTGCTTTATATTTGTATATACTCTCTTTAACACATGTTTATAATAACTCAATTACATTCAGTTCCTTCGTACGATCTCTCTTTATTGACCTGACATCAGAGAGCTCCTGCCATGTATTAAAATACAAGTTGCATCCAGCAGCAGCAACACGATTAGCTGACTGCTGGAGAAACTATACAGATGGGCCTTTGGGATCCCAGTGTCTTTCCAAGCAGCTGTTTTTCCAAATTAGCGGATCCTCAAAACTGATTTTTTAAAAGCTTATTAAACAGTTTAGGAAAACATTAACAAACATTGTCCTTGTTCATTAACATGCTCCACCTGGATACTTTTTGACAGGAAGTTTGGGGTTGTCCCATATATATGTGAGCGTGCTGTCCACTCAGCTCCAAAGGGAGATGTCAGTTACTACACAGCAATCATACAAGTATCATTTTGCATTCTTTCTCTGCGAAGTACAGAATGTGAAAGGAAGTCACTGAGAAATGCAGTCACCCATAAACTGATCGTAGCAGTCTGAGATGCTTTTCCTCAGCGCATCGATGTCTTTCCTCAGCTGGCCAACTTCCAGTAGCTTTAACCTTAACTTGTCTTCCACTGCCACCACTTTGCAGTCACTGTCCTCTGCTGAAAAGGTCAGCGCTGAACAGAGAAAACAAAGGAGAAAATGTTATGAAAAAGTCAAGGACAATATTTAGTGAGCCAGATTATGACTGCATGAAGAAATGTGAAGCAGTGCCTTGAAAAGAAAATGATTAGGGCAGAAGGCACCATACACATGTCTCTCATGCAGTGCAACTGTGCTCTATCGCATTGAGACTGTCGCTACACTCGGGGTATGACTCCATGATTAGGGCATCAGGGCACATGGAAACTTCTTTAAGACACTTATGCTTGACTGGTCACGCCCACAGCTGTGCAGAGTGTTGGGAGTCTGCATCAGTATTACGACTGAGTTGGTTTACAGTATTTAGTCCACCTGCCTGTTTAATGGGAAGCATATGTTGACTTTCTGGCTGTGACCCCTTGCCTGCGTATTGCTCATGGTTTACGTGCTGGGTGGGAACTTGCTGTGTCAAGGCCCTTTTAAATAGGACTCCGCCCAGGCTGTGCTGACCGCTAGCTAGAGTGAATGGCCCAAAATTTGTGATGCACTGGCTGCCTGGCGAGTGAGTTTAGAACAATGTGTTGCTCACGATGTCACGGGTTAAACACTCAGTGCTTTGTAAAACAAAAAAAGAAAACTCAGCTGTAAGTTGGGTGTGATGCTTGCTCGCGGTTCATGAGGTCACATGCTTGATGCAACCTTCCTATGGCGCCTAATGGAAGAGGATGGCGAGTGAGTTCTCTCCAGCCAATGCAGACAGCCTTGCGTGTTGCTCACAGAGCCATGAGTTACACGATTGGTGCTTTCTTCATGTGAGTTGGCTGTGACTCCTACTAACATATTACCAGTGCGAGTTATTGTGCTTGGTAGGTCCCTGCTGCATGCAGACATATAGGAATCATATCATTGTTGGGTTTTCCTCTGTATGTATTATTGTAAGGTCTACCTTACAATATAAAGCACCTTGAGGCGACTGTTGTTGTGATTTGGTGCTTTATAAATAAAACTGAATTGAAATGAATTCAACTGTAAGCTACCTGTGGTCCTTACTGGTGTATTGCTCTGACGTTTGCCACAGTGAGGTCCCATCCAGTGGCTTCAACAGACAGCTGATGGTCCAGCAAGTGAGAACTTATCTTATTTTATATGTTTAAGCATGTTTATTGTTACATTTCTTCTCTATCGGGGGAAAGGAAAGTTAGAAATGACTATCCACTTTTATGCATAATCATTTCTAACTTTCCTATTAGTCATGTTAACAAATACATTTGTTAGCTGGAATATCTGTGGATTTGGAAATCAGGCACAAAATATTAAACATAGGGACATCATATGTGGATTTACGTCTACTGCAAGAAAACCACTTGTGCAAACAGAAGGTGAAGAAGTTTGATTTCATGATGAGTCAAACACAGCTCTGAGTGGTTTCCACAGATTTATAATCTTTTTGTGGGGTAGGTCAGATGTGAGGAAGACAATCTTTCATAAATAACCTAAAAAGTTCAGAAGGATGATGTTGTAGTCTGGGGCTAGCATCTGTTTATATACGTAAATCTTAAAATCTGTGTGTGGGGAACACTAAGAAAAAAAAAGTTGGGTCACAGCTAGTTTTGTTCATCCAAGTTATAAATAATGATTTTGTGTTTGATAGAAAAAAAAAGATATTTCAATGCCCTGAGATATGTTGTTGAAGTTCAAAGGTTTCTGATAACACAGGTCTCCAGAAAAAAGAAAAACAGAAAGAAAATCAGCTGCGTAGTACGGAAGAGGATTAAGGCCACTTTTTTTTCTTCGTTTCCAGAATTCTGAGAATCATGAGAAAAAAAAAATCTGAGAAAAAAGTCAGAATTCTGACTTTTTTAAAAGAATTCTGGAAAAGAAGAAAAAAAAAAAAAGACACTATCTTCTTAATCCTCTTCCATACTTCCGTAGCATGGGATACTTTTGGTAAATTTTATGTTTTTAGGGTGTTGAATCAAAAAATGATCTCCATCTCCTCATGTTTTGCAAAAAACATTGATGCTTCTCTGAACACGCTTTCGCTCTTAGAATATATATTAAATTCATGTAAGAAATCATTAGTGGATATGTTTTTTTTTTAACTCAAATATAGGATACCAGATTTCAGTTTCAAAAGGGAAATTGTATGCTTAATTAAACTTAAAAACATGAGTTTTGCAAGAAAACCTGACGTGATGGAATTTTAAAAACATTTTTCTTGGTTTCAGTGAGTAAAAATCTACAAGAAACAGTCAAAAAACCCTATGCAGATTTTTGGTTGCAAACCTGTGTAATTAATCAGATAATTATAAAATAGTTTTTGCAGCTGTTTATTACCATTTATTTATTTTAAGTTAGTAAACATTAAAGTGATACGCATTAACAACCTCACTTTACCTCAGCTGTCAATACGTTAAGTAAGAACCATCCACATGTATTTTACTCTGGAAGAGGCTGTAAAATTTTGAGTCTGATTCAGATCCATGAGTCAGTGAAACTCACTTCTGTCAGATGACACCAACAGTATCACCTCAGTATCGCTAAGCACTGTTTTTGTAGTTGTTAGCTCTTCCTTTCCGGCATTACCAAAGCTTTCTTTGAATTTGAGCTGACATTATTGAACTCTGACAGTTATTGAATAAACTCTTGTGATTTTTAGGACATTAGTGGGTATAATGTTAGCTTATAATCAGCAGCTATTGTCGTTGTTGTTGGCTCCAGACAGCTGACAACTGAAATCTTGGAATGGGATTTAAAATTAAATCAACAGCTCCGAAAATGAGTTTGAGAGCCCTATTCCTGGAATTTTACATGCGCACAAAGAAAACTGCTAACTGATTACTAGGTGACTAAAATAAAAAAATATATATATATTTTTTTACAAATGCTACAAATCTTATTTGTATCAAAAAAATCATAAATGTCTGTATTTGTGTTCGCCCTCTAACTACAGTAGGTTACAAGTGATACATAAAGAATAAGTATAAATAAGTATAAAATGTATGCCTACATACATGTCATTCCTAGAAGCAAAGACAGGTTGGGCTCTTTCCCCTGCGCTCTCTGAGCCAAGATGCTGCAGAGACCCTGGAGGTCCAGTAGACAAAGGGACATCTCTTTCAGCAGCTGGTCCACTTCTGGAATTTCCACATGGGCTAAAGAAGACACCAGCAACCCTTCATCCATCACCTGCTGCTTGTCAGTGAAAAAAGAAAAGAAAAAAGAAAATATTTTTTAAATATCTTGGAACAACATGTTCCCATGTATCAGAAAACCCACCTCTCAGGGATCACTGCAACTTTCAATCTAGCATGAGTGCTATTTTTTTTTTCCTATTTAACATGCACTGACAGCTAGGGATGGGAATTAATGCCAATTTAGCGATTCTGATTTCAATAGTGATTCTCATTGGGTTCTCACTGGCTCACTTTGAAAGTAACCACAATCTTTAAGCAGCATATCAAAGAAATTACATTCATGCAAACTAACTGCATGCTGTGGGATCACAGATTTGTGTATGTTGGAGGCATTTCCCCTGTTTATTGGTCATTACTCAGAAAAGTAATGTGTTACACATATTACACAAAACACTTTTCTTGGAAGTCATGCATTACTTTTAAGAAGTACTGCACTTAATTATTTTTATTACTCCCATAAGAATGTAATTTGTTATACTACTCTTCACATTACTTTTGCATTTCAAACATATTATGCAGACACACATTTTTTCTCTCAGTATTTAGGTATGAACACAAAAGCACAAATGTAATCCAAATAAAATCCAGCACACAGAGACTACAAAGTGAAAGCCACAGTCATGTAGAATATACACGTCTGTTCATGCTTAGATGTACATCATTTAAATGTGAACAGACAAAGACGGAGCCTGCAGCACTGCTCATCGGTGCCTTTTTTACCTATTGAAATTCAGGGTCTCGCTGCTGGTTCAACATGATGGATTATCAGAACAGTTCACTCCACTATAGCTCTCCCCACTTTCCAACTGTTTCCAGACTCTCTCTCAAACCCACACAAAGACTGTTCACCATAGGGGATTCTCCAAGCAAACCTGAGCACAGTGAAAATACAGACTGGCATCTCTCTCACAGGCAAGCTGAAATATTAACTCAAGGGTTGGAGGTGAGTTGCACTAACTTATTCAAGACAATGATCCAGTGAGGATTAAATAACGGCCACTCCCACTGCTCTTGCAACAGTTGTATAAAGATCGAATGGCCAGACACCCCATACTTCCGAAAGACCTCCCACAGAATACTCCAAGGGACATGGTCGAATGTCTTCTCTAAGTCCACAAAAGGCATGTAGACTGGTTGGGCAAACTCCCATTAACCCTCAAGTATCCTTGAAAGGGTAAAGAACTGGTCTAGTGTTCTGCAACCAGGACGAAAACCGTATTGTTCCTCCTGTATTCGACTAACGGATAGACTCTCTTTTTCAGCACCCTGGCATAGACTTTGCTGGGGAGGCTGAAGAGTGTGATCCCCCTATAGTTGGAACAGACCCTCTGGTCCCCCTTCATGATGATGGGAACCACCAGCTGGTCTGCCAATCCAGAGGTACCGCCCCTGACAGCCCTACAACACCCGAGGGGCCCTGCCACCAAGGAATGGTAAATGGACTAGTTCTTATATAGCGCTTTTCTACTCTGAGCACTCAAAGTGTTTTACACAACTTGCCTCATTCGCCCATTCACACCCATTCGTACAAGCTATTTTTTCTATGCTCCAAGAGCTTTCCATATAACATTCACTCGTACTCATACTCCGATGGATGCACTGGAGAGCAACTTGGGGTTAAGTATCGTGCCTAAGGATATTTGACATGCAGATGAGAGTAGAAGGGGATTTAACTACAAACCTTCCGATTAGAAAGTGACCTGCTCAACCACCTGAGCTACAGCAACAAGGAGTTGTTTAACTTCAGTGACCTTACACCAGTGATGGATGAGTCATCCCCCTCGTCCCCAGACTCTGCTTCCTCTACAGAAGATGTCCTAGTGGGATTAAGGAGGTCTTTGAAGAAGAAAGTCTTCCTCCATGTCCTCTCCGAACTCCTCCCACAACTGAATTTTTGCTTCAATTAATGCCCGAGCCACGTTCCACTTGACCTGTCTGTACCTATAGGCTGCCTCTGAAGTCCCACAGGCTAACCAAGCCCAATAGGACTTCTTCACCCTGATGGTTTCCTTCACCTCCGGTCTCCACCATCTGGTTCGGGGGTTACCACCACGACAGGCACCAACCACCTTGCGGCCGCAGCTCAGTGCAGCAGCGTCAGCAATGAGGTCCATTCGAACTCAATGTCCGCAGTCTCCTGTTGACAACCCCACAGGTGGGGGCCTCTGCCAGGCGTTCCCAGCTTACCCTCAATATCCATTTAGGTGCCCCAGGTCTGTCGAACATCCTCTCCCGCCACCTGATACAACTTACTACAAGGTGTTGATCAGTTGACAGCTCAGCACCTTGCTTCACCCGAGTGTCCAGAACATACTTCTGCAGATCTGATGATACAATTACAAAACTGATCTTATGAACTGCGGCCTAGGGTGTCCTGGTGCCATGAGCACTTATGGACACCCTTATGTTTGAACAAGGTTTTTGTTACTGTGGTTTGCACAGAAGTCCAATAACAAAACACTGCTCGATTTCAGATCTGGCAGGCCGCTTTTTCCAGCCACGGCCGTCCAGGTCTCACTGTCACTGCCCACATGAGTGTTGAAGTCTCCCAGTAATGAGAGAGTCCCCAGGAGCAGCACCCTCAAGCACCCCACCTAGGGACTCAAAGGCAGCCAGGTACTCTGAACTTTTAGGCCATGTTATGGAGTAATGCAAAAGTAATAAAACAAATTCAATTCAATTCAAAATCCTGCTCCTCACATACAAGGTTTTAAATAATCAGGCCCCATCTTATCTTAATAACCTTGTAGTACCATATCACCCTATTAGAGCACTTCGATCTCGCACTGCAGGCCTACTTGTTGTTCCTAGAGTATTTAAAAGTAGAATGGGAAGGAGAGCCTTCAGTTTTCAGGCCCCTCTTCTGTGGAACCAGCTTCCAGTTTGGATTCGGGAGACAGACACTATCTCTACTTTTAAGATTAGGCTTAAAACTTTCCTTTTTACTAAAGCATATAGTTAGGGCTGGACCAGGTGACCCTGATTCCTCCCTTAGTTATGTTTTTCCTTCCCACTGTCGCCAAAGTGCTTGCTCATAGGGGGTCATATGATTGTTGGGTTTTTCTCTGTATCTATGAAGCGCCTTGAGCGCCTTCATAGATACATAGTTGTGATTTGGCGCTATATAAATAAAATTGAATTGAATTGAATAGTGTTTTTACAGGGAGTAATTAAGTAACACACTGCCACACTTTTTAAAACAGTAATGAGAAATATATAATAATGGATTATTACTTTGAGTAACAGCACCACCACTGTTCATATATCATTGATAGTTGGAAAGAACTTAATCTCAAAAATAAAGCTGTTGGTAGAGAATCAAGTTTAATAAGTAAATGATCTGAAGACTAAAATTAAAGTAATTTCAGTAAATGATATGCTTAATTTTCCTCTCATGTGATGATCTGAGTTGTGGCTAAAGGTTTGGGGCAGAGGAGATTCAGCACCTATCAATGACTAACCAAAAATCAATTAGACAGGCAGAAGAATTAAGCTAATACTTCCACCACAGATACCTGAAGGAAGGCTGTACTGGGTGTATTCAGGCTTTTTCCCTTTTCTGGAAGGTAAGAATATTGCTGACGAGAAAGGCCTCTTTTCTTCTGCAGTGTTGTGCTGGTAGACTAGCAAAACAAAGAATGTGACAGATGAGCTTATGTTTTCTACAGAAAAATAATATACAGTCATTGATCGTCTTCTTCTTTCAATGTGTTTAGTCTTTGTCACAGTGGATGGAGCTCCATCTCACTAGATCCAAGAGCCTATGAGGTCTTCTCCTGTCTGATGCCTTCATTCACAACTGCCCAGTATATCCACTATCCATCCACTGTACATGTCCAAATGATTTCAACTTTGCCTCTCTAACCATTTATCACATCCCTCGATTATTAAGTGAATTTCAGGCTGAGAGGTACCATAGCTGATTTTGGCAATAAATCAAAAAGTAAAGACTTGGATCTCAAATTTTATGACTGATGCCTGAGCAGGAAAACTTTCTGTTATGTAATCTCACTTATACTGAAGCTTGGAACTGTTCTCAAATAATAACAGCAGGAAGTTAGCCTGGTATTATTATTATTATTTTCTTTAATGAAAAATTTTTTTTTTTTTTCTCAATACAGTTTTCTAAGTTTGCAGATAATGCTTTGGTAGGGTGAGGTCGAGGTCAGTGTCTGTTTTGCAGGATGACCACAACACTGCATCAGCCTTTCACGGCTGAGGATTTAAAAAAAACAAAACACAAATTGTCTTCATTACAAGTTTCTTCAGGCGACATTTTTCAAACAAAGTAGCTCTTTTGCTGAGTGATTTTAATTCATTCTCATGTGTTGCTGATCATCTGTGGTCCTCCTGATTATCAGATGTAAAGAAATACAGCATATACAAGAATTGTACAGTGAGGGTGTAGATTTATAACAACCTACCATGAGTTGTGAGGTCAGTCTCTCAATCTGTTCTCGTTGATGCTTAAACAGCTGGAGGTGATCAGACACAACACGTGAATGGCTTCTTCATGTGTTTTGTGTATGTGCATAAATGTGTTTAGAATGCTACCTTGCTGCTGTGATCTTGCTGCTTAATAAGCTGATGGTTTTCCACTTCAAGCCGCTTCAAGTCTTGCATAGGTAGCCTCACTCCATCATCCAAACACTGCTGCACCTTTTGCTGTAGACTTTACCAGAATAAGACATGAACAAAACAGAGACATGAATGAAATGAAAAGAATATCATAAATAGATCATTTAGTATCACTTGTGTCATCTTTACAGTAAATGAAGATGTGTGTTTACAGTTAATGCACGTGAACTGTGTAGTTAACGACAGGAAATACTTCAGATCTGCCAGTGCGCATGTACCATATGTGATCATAATCTTCTGGAACTGTACCCATAAAAATTACAAATACAGGTGGCTCCAAGTGGTACCGCCCTGACCTTCTAGCAGATTCACCTATGGTATAAATGTGAAAGCCCCAGGCAGTTTTCTGAAAATTTGCCATCTGACCTTTACTTTCAGTTCAAGCTCACTGGGATTTAAACTCTTCTGAAATTTTTACTAGATGCATCACTAGAGGCTGAATGTGAAATTCCTATGTGAGTTCCTTCTTGAGATATGGCATTCCCAAGATTGACTTCTGACCTTGATAGGGTGACAGCGATACACTAACAGCGCTTTACGACTAAGGGGTAAAAATGTGTACCCAATTTCAATTTGGCTCCGTCTTCTACAACATTGTCTTTTGAGCAAATGAAGACTGATTGCACCACGCTTGCTTACATACTTCTAGAATGCTCCTTAGACTATTCACTGTGACTGCTTGGATATATGCTGCAACCTTATTACAAATATTAGTGTAAAACAACAAATATCAACTTCTGTGTCAAAGTGCAGATGAGGACAGACCATTAACCCCCCCATGAAAACATATTTTTTAAACTACTAAAAAGAACAGGGAATCCAACTTTGGATTCTTTTCTTTTGATCCAAAGTTTTATTTTCAATGCCCCAAAATTCAACAAATCTTTTCTTCAAGTCTAAACCAAAGTGTAAGCTCAAACCCTTGTCTTATTTTATCAAAACTGATCTAATAATGCTCTCTAAAGAAAACTTGTACGTTTAGTAATGCTATTTTGGACATGCCTTGCTCTGTTGAAGAAGCGCTTTAAAGAGGCAAGGAAAATTGAATTTAATAATTGTTTAACTCATTTCAACTGTTGATGACCTAGGCTAAGATATGAATCTTTCCTAAATTAAAGACGAATTATTTTTGCACTATGGTGATGAATCAGGAGATATCTATCATCCTTTAGACATTCACAAGTACAGCTAATAATAAGACGACATCCAGAGAGCTGTCTAAAAATATCAGCAGTGAGAAAATGACCTTGAAGAACCAATTTTAAATCAGGCACTGTATATTTTCTGATTTTAGTACAGTCCTCACAAATCTGTGAGAAACGACGTACCTTATTTGCACACAAATGTATCATATACACATAAATATACCTATGTACAGATGCAATCAATTCTTTCTCTCTCTTTGCCTGCATCTTCATCTCGATGTCTTTGTCCTTCATCAAAGTACATCCTTCCTCTAGGCTCTTTTTTAGGTGAGACACTATTTTCTCCAGTTTCTTGCATTTCTGCTGTGCCTCCTCCTGCTGAAAATAGAAATATGCACAGTGAGATAGTAGAGCAGTACGAACAAAACCTAATCCTCTCTCTGACTAAATGGGGTCTCACAATTTTAAATCCTGGACCTTAATCTGTTTATACTCTATATAAATAACATACAAATGTCTAAATTATTAAAATATAATTTATTTCTTGATGACATCACCTAATATTGTTTTGGGAAAAGTCTGGAATGGCTTCTAAATATAGTGGAATTGGAATTCCAAGAAATTGTTTAATTTAAATGAGAGCAAACAAAGTATCTAATATCAACAGGCAAATAAAAAATAAAGTCAATGATGAACAAGGTTGAAATGGAAAGACTGTATGAAAATACATTTTTGGTAATTGACCTTCACTTATATTCAAAATCATCCAAGAGTTTTAGTAGATACACCTAGGTTTTAATTTGAAAATCCTAGGTGACATTTTTCTCCAGTTATCGTGTTCAAAAGGTCCACTGCTGGTGGACCATCTTTAGGAGTAGTCTGGGTTACACAAGCAATGTGTACACAATTTTACACATTGCTTGTTCCTTTAAAAGTGATGCAGCACATTAATTGTTTACTGCCCAGAGAAGGTAATGTTGAATAAAAACAGAGCTTAAATGTAGGCTTAGCCTACCTCAACAAATTTTATCTTGTTTTAGGAACATATTTAGACTGTACCCAGTCTAGGGGTCGAGAGCAGAAGAAAAGAGGAGTATATGGTGAAAACAAACAGGATAAAACAAACTCAGGGATTATATTGTAAAACTGTCCTGCAGAAACCCATTTGCACTACGCTCGGAGGACAGAGGAGTCCCTGTCCCATATGAAACGCCACTTGCTTAGAGTTTCCAAGTCTCTAGGATGAAAAATGTCTCTGACTGATCAACCTGACTCACCTCAGGGTGTATGTATGCTCATATATGTGTTTACCCTGTTGGCCTGGACCTGTACTTCATCTAATGTTGGCAGGTCAGAAAGGTATTTCTCCAGTGTCTCTATGCGTTGCTGGTTTTCTTGGTTTTGGTTGTTCTCTCGCTGAAACTTCTTTTTTAGACTACAGATGTAGCGATCCCTCGTTTTTATCTGTGGATGAAGAAAATACATATTCAAACATATGTTTACGTTACTATACTTTCAAGAGTAAAGTACACTTTAAAGAGTAAAAAATGTTATATATATTAATTATTACTGTACCCTTTCCTCCAGTTTTCTGATATCCTCTGAATATTTCTGAGTAATTTGCTTGAAGACTTTGCTGAAATGGATTGTGTCAAGTTCAGCCACAGCTAATTTCTTAACAAGTTCTTCATCACAGGACAACTGATCAGGTGGCTGCTTGCGTGAAGTTCTCATTGTTGAGTCCTTAAAGATGACCAGAACTTGTGCTATAACTTTAATTATAAAAATGTTTTATGTGGTTATTAAATTTGGATATGAATGTTCATTTATTACCTGGATGTTTCGGGTGTGAGAGTCATCAAACAACCTTCTCTGGCTCTTTAAGACCTGATGTATTTTCTGTTCATTATCTCTGATCCGCGCATGTAGTAGCAAGATCTGTAGCTTTTGTCTGAAAGACAGAATTCGTTCCTACTTACAAAGATTCCCACCTGTATTGTTTTTTCCATATGCAATAAATAAATGACTAAAATAAAGTTTATTCGAGAACTGACAGGGTGAACAATTTGGATCTGCAAAAGATACCCAAACATGCCAGATGAAGAGTGAAAGTAGTGACAAAGAGAAGCACCAATGTTTGGAACACTTCAGTGTACCATAGTATTGTTGTGTGTTTTTAGGATTTTTCGCAAGCCTTTTTATACTTCAAAGGAACAAGACTTTTCCAATAAAAAATAAAAAACAACATCAAAGTTGTACATGTAAAAGGTTAGAATTTTGCTTTTGTAACCTTCAGGATGTCTGTGAAGGTTCTCAGTCATCCAGGTCATCGTAGTCAAAGGAGCTTGTAAAGAAAAGCGTCTGGACTTCTTTAAGTTGCTTGAAGACGTTTCACCTCTCATCCAAGAAGCTTCTTCAGTTCTAAGGTCAAATGGTGGGGAGTCCTTGACCTTAGAACTGAAGAAGCTTCTCGGATGAGAGGTGAAACGTCTTCAAGCAACTTAAAGAAGTCCAGACGCTTTTCTTTGCAAGCTCCTTTGACTACCTTCAGGATGCACTGGTGTGGTTTGTAGTCAAATCTCAAACAGCAGGCACAGGAATCACAATATCCACATCTAAGGCCATGATTCTCTGCCACAAAGCGGTAGTTGTAGCTGGTGTTTTTATTTGTTGTTCTTCTCTTATCAAATACACAACTCCTTATTTGCTACCACCATCTTCACTTTTTACTTAAAACTCTGTAAACTAACACAAGTTTTATATTTCCAATGCTAATGGAGTGAAAGCAGGAAAACAAAACAAGTCAAATCAACAAGTGTAAGCCTGGGTGAATAACAATATACACAGTTGCAACTGATCGCAGCTTGTTCCACAATAACTTTCACATATTTAGTTTGAGATAAGTATAGGTATTGGTGGACTGTTCTTATATTTTTCAAAGAGTACACTGAGTACAGGCTGTGGGTCTTTTCTTGGCAGCTTTAAGGGCTCAGGTATGGACAGCTTGCTGCACTTAACCTAGCTGCAACTCTGATTTTTGGCTAACTTCCCTTTTCAGTGCCTTGAGTTTGGCCTCTAGTGTCCTTCTACATGGAGGCTAGTGCTCCTTGAGGCTGTTCACCTTACAGCCAAGCATCACTGCTGCCGTCGTGTAGATCAGATGATTAGATTCAGTGATGGTTGCACTAGGGATTATCAGTAATGCTGCATTCACATCTTCGAGTACACCTTCAGAGGGTACAATCGCTTCTTCCGAATGTTGGAACACTGAGCGAAATGACGAAACTGACAACGAAACACTGAGTTGTTTCGTTGTCAGTCTGGATGTTGGGTATCAACGATCCCATAGATTCCACATCCTCTTCATGTAACCTCCTCCGCCGGGGTTATTTGCATAGTATAATTCCAACAGCTCCCTGTTTTCATCCCTTGTTGACTTATGCCTCTGTCAGTGCGCCACAGGGTGGCTGTGGCTACAATGTAGCTTGCCATCACCAGTGTGTGAATGTGTGTGTGAATGGGTGGATGACTGGATGTGTGAAGCGTTTTGGGGTCCTTAGGGACTAGTAAAGCGCTATATAAATATAGGCCATTTACAATTTATGCCTTCTTGTTCTAGTAGCCCACTTCTCATCAGTGTGTCCTGGTTCCTCAACACCTCATGCCAACCTTGGTTATCTAGACAACGTTCGAGCTGGTATGGCTTCAATTATCTCTTTCTTGCTCATATCCCTATCCAAGGTAGGCATGAGGGGATCTGGTCTGGGGATCCTTACTGGAGACAGACGCTCTGGTCGGGAGTCAGACCCCCAACCTGAAAGTGGGTAGTGTTACCCCTACTCTAAATGTATATATGCATGCATCTGCATGCAAACACACACACACACACCCATATAGGGCAACTAAAATATCTGTCTGTTTGGCTTTCAGTACCTATTTATCTGTTGCTCTCTTTGTCTCAGTAGATCCTCTTTTACCTTAACCAGATTGTTGACAGGCAGGGAGGTCCCTCTCAGCATCTGGTAACACACAAATATAGAGAAGACAAAATCTAATTTATGCACACAGCGAAATCATGACATAATGTAAAAGCCTTAGTTGAAGTCAGTTATAATCATGTAGTAGAGAAAGTTTTCACAGGACTGCCCAGTGAAAAACTAAGTACACCTCATGATTCAGCAGCATGTAGTTCTCTTAGGGTCCTGACAGAGCATTTCAGTTCCGTTAAGGTCCAGACTTGAACTGGGTCATTGCAACATCTTTATTATTTTTTGTGCATTCTTGTGTAGATTTGCTTTTCCCTGTTGGACAGATGCCGTTATATTTACAGTGATGTGAAAAAAATACACTTTTCCTGATTTCCTAACTTCTGTATGTTTGTCACACTTAAATGTTTCAGATCATCAAACAAATTTAAATATTAGACAAAGACAAAACAAATAAGCACAAAATGCAGTTTCTAAATGAAGAAGTTTATTATTAATGGGGGAAAAAATCTAAACCTACATGGCCCTGTGTGAAAGAGTGACACCACCCCTAAACTAACCCTAACTTGTTGGGCCACTATTAGCAGCAACAACTGCAATCAAGCCTTTTTCGATAACTGGCAATGAGTCTTTTACAGCGCTGTGGAGGAATTTTTGCCCACTCATCTTTGCAGGAATTCATTCACAATGAAGGGTTATTGAACATGAATCGCCTATTTAAGCTCATGCCACAGCATCTCAGTCAGACTTTGACTTCATTTTGGGGGTTTTTAAGCCATTCAGAAGTGGGCTTGCTGATGTGTTTTCTATCATTGTCCTGCTACAGAACCCAAATACCCAAATACGCCTGAGGTCACAAACAGATGGCCGGACATTCTGCTTCGGGATGTTTTGGCAGTCCATATTGTCCAAAACAACCCCACCATCACACTACCACCGCCATATTTCACTGTTAGATCCAAGATAGCGCCGATGTTTGTGGCTCGCCATCTACCTGTCTTACCTGTTCTGTTTTTCGTCTTATTGATAATGTTAACTTTGCTCCAGTTTGTTCTGTGTGTGTTTGTTCTAGTTTTTACCCTTTTGCTATGTAAAGCACTTTGGTCAACCTCTGTTGTTTTTAAAAGTGCTTATAAATAAATTGAATGATTGATTGATACTGTTGGTATGATGTTACTTTTCTGAAATACTATGTTACTTTTACGCCCGATGTAATGGACACAAACCTTCCAAAAAATAGACAATCAGAAAGGGGACAAACACTTTTTCACACCACTGTAACTCTAGAATACTATAATACAATGATTGCAAGATGTCCAGTGCCTGCAAAAATAATTACTGGTATGAGGTGTTTGTGCTGACTGTGGTTTTTGAGTTTGGTTTTTGTCAAACATGGTGAATTTTATATCCAATCATCTGAATTTAATTTGGTATTATTTTATGCCAGTTCATAACAGTCATTTCAAAACAGCTTGTTGTACTGTACGGTAAAACAAAAACTTTAAAACACTGGAGACTGTGTGATTGCCCCAGCAGTCTCACAATGTGTTACCAAGGTTACAGTTACAGGGAGTTACAGGGAGGACAAATATCTATTGGGTCATTGGTGACCAATCTAGGTTTTAGGTTAGCAGCAGGGTTTGGGTTGACTTAACAAGCAAACCGTTTTCATATAGCCAAAAACCTAATAACAAAATGTATGAGATTCATCTGAAATGTAACACATTGTAATTTGTGAACTATTGCTAATTGCATCTAAAACAACACCCAACCTTATCTCTAAATAGAGAGCTACATGTTATGATGTTAACAGGGAGAAGTTCATTGCCCCCAACCTAAGACCTCTGTCAAAACCAGACTCAGGGAGGGGTAGCCAACAGCAGCTGCTTGGTGAGATTAAAGACAAGACATATTTGAAAGCCATAGAAAGACAGTGATCAAACCACAAGTAACTACCTCTCTGAATAATAGGGTTGCTGTGTCCTAAATCATCCTTTCTCAATCTATGAGCATATTTACCTACACAGGATCAAGTCGTGGTCTTTTTATTTCCATACTTTTTCACTTTCCTCGTTTCTATGTTTATTTTCACTTTTATATGATAGCTGTAAAACCCCACTCACCTGTTTAAGCCCTGGATCACATTGATGTCGCTGTTGCCATAGTGACTGCTCATCTCCACCGCAGCCCTCTGTTCCAGTATCACTGTTATGACCAAGTTCACCTCCACACTTTCCTTTGAGCCTGTGCTCCATGTGCTCAGTCAGCCACATCTGGGTGCGTGCTTCAAGTTGAACTGGGGACGTTCTATTAGTCTGATGACCCAGTGGAGAGTCCATTTGGTTGTATGAGATGGGTTGATAAATACTGTAGTCCATGTATTGTTTCACTGGTGAAGACAGAGGTGAGAAAAGGGACATATCTGCCTCCAAACCAGTGGATAGCCTGCAATTGTTGTACTGGTAACCTGTGCTGGCACCTGGCGAGTGCTGGAGTAAGCTACTGCAGGCTGTGGGAGAAAGTAGCGGTAAATATAAGTCGACATCGGAAACTTGAGGTACCCTTCTATGCCTATGCTGTAGAACTCTATCTAGGGATCCTTGTGCATTTGGGTTGTACCGATATCCTGCTGTGCTAGTATTGCACGTATCAGTTCCTAATGATAAGTTGGAAAGTGAGGAGCACCTCCGGATAGACTGATGGTCCTTTGTGTCTAGACAACTTTGTGGGTCCAGATGAGATGTGGCTGGCACATGCTGCTGAGAAGACCAGTACGAGTAATTTGTGCTGTGGCTTGAAGCTGGCATTTTAAAAGTGGTTTTATGTGAGGATGAAACAAATGGCCTTACATGGACAGTAGGAATGCCATTATCCTGGCCCAAGTGCTGCTGCAAGAGTGGCTGGGAATACAGATGGGTGGTACTGGAACTGGAGTCATCTAGGGAAAGATATAAAAGGTTAAAGAAAAAATATGGGAAGGATCAAATAACAACACCAACCTATATTTATTGAGAACTGTAAAAAAAAAAAATCCCTTCAAGAAAGGGTTTTAGCATAAAAAAAAAAAAGAAAAAAGGTACTGTAACCATTTACATAAAGACCGCAGTGACAAGATTGTGTATAATGCATGGATGGCTGTAGCTCAGGAGGTAGAACAGATCATCTACTGATCAGAAGGCTAGTGATTCAATCTATGGCTCCCCCAGTCTGCACGCCACTTGGGCAAGATACTAACCCCAAGTTGCTCTCCATTGCATCCATCGGAGTATAAATGTGTGTGAATGTTAGTTAGGAAGCACTGAAAAGCACTGAAGACAGTGAATGTGGTATGTTGTATAGAGCGCTTTGAGTGCTCCGGGGAGAGTAGTAGCTATATAAGAATCATTACCATTTACCATATATGCTCCTTGGGAAATCTATCTTGTAACTTACGACGCAACCCAAAACTCCTTTTAACCCTACGCCATAATCTTCCAGGGTTTTCAGAGACTTAAGCGCGTGTGCTAAAAGAGTAAGACATTTTCCACCTTTGTCAACTTCTTTAAGATGCCAAATGAAGACTGAACTCAGAGCTGACCTGGAAACTTCAGTGCTGAGATGTCCAAAAATATCCAAACACACCACAGCTGTGCACAGAGCACAGCACAGCTCCACTGTCCTTTCTCAGATTCATCCATAATCAAGATATTTGCTATGAACTTGTCATGGGCCAAGACCACCAAATTCCTCTTTCTTTTTTGTAACATGGTGAGATGACAGGACCTATCACACAGCATTAACTTTCCCTTTGTGAGCTGCTGGAAGCTGGGGTGGAAAGAGAATAAGCTTTACTAAAATCGCTGTGATTACATCAGAATATGAATCTGTTGAGTGCACAGTTGAAAGCTCGGCGGGGCTTTGTGTCGGGGTCCTCCAGTAGGCTCTGTGCAGCAGACAGGCTGACAGAGAGAAACACTTCTCTACCAGACTAAATCTGTAAGAACAGCAGTGGAAGTGTCTCCCACTGATTGTACAAATATAGATATATTTTTACTTGTTATTTATCTCACGAGTCGCTGTGATTTGGACGACAGAGATATGCTGCTTCAGTTTGCTCTGCCCTGCCTACTGAGTAACCCGACTCCGGCTTATTTTCATACTAACATTGATCGGGTGTTTAGCTGGGGGGCGGGATCTCTGCCGAGTGCTGCGTGAGCGTGGGCACAAACAGAGCGAACCAGAGGCGAAATAGTCTCATTTGTGCCTTTTCCAGTGGATTCTTCAGCTACTGTAGTAAATCCTGTCCATATTCAGTTTGTGGGTAATCTTAATTTTCTTTCACAACTTCTAAAAGTTTGACTCTTGGCCCAGAGTAGAGCCCCGATGTGATGTATATTATATTTATCTGATACCTTAAGAACTCTTTGTTTTCACAATATGACTAAATTATGTACAGTAATAACGCTTGTTATTCAGGCTACTTCAAAAATTTACCATGAGAATTGTTTAATATAACGGTCATTTAACGATAAACTATAAAGCGTGTTTACATGTATTTTACAACATACGATCAAATATTTGAAGAATATTACTAAATGGACTATGCTGTGGCATCAGATGTCTGTGCTAAAAAATAAAAGCCACGGATGACTTCTAGCTCGGTAACAACGGAACCAACGTGCCGTATACTCGATATGTTAAAGGATTTAACAAGGACACAGCACTGCAGATGAAACGGAACCAGCTCCTTACTTGGCTATCATGTATTTCCAAAGCTCCTTACCTGTTTTATTAGATTCCATCTTTAAATTAGAAATGATTGGATCCATCTTCAAAATCACTTCTGCATCGCATTTTTTAAATAAAGGTCTTTTTATATCAGAGTAGGGAAAATCACGTTAAGCTCACTAAGATGACAAAGGAGAATAAAAGCAAGACGTTCAAGACGCGACAGTCTCCAGCAGCAAAGCTGTCATATATGCATACTTCCAGTAAACGAGGCCGTTCTGGGTTAACCATGAGTGGAAGTGCACCCAGTAATCTCTTCCTCCGACACCCGCATGCGCCTCATAGTAATTCTTCGGCTGGGCTGAAACCGTTCCTGGCACAGTAACGAAATTATTCAACAAAAGTGTGCAAATAACGTGAGAAGTCTCGTGCTTTCAGTCAGCCTACAAATTGCTAGGGTGACAAACCGCGGTCAAATTTCTTGCGCTTCTACAGTCACCTTTACGGCAGCGCCTGTTCTCTTGAATGCCCGATCGCATGTATGACAAGCCATTAGTGCCAAATATCGCCCCTTTTCTAACCCGTGGTTTTCTGCCACCCGGATGGCGCCTTGAACGCACCATCCGAGTGGCCAATAAACACGATTCTGATTATGAGGTATTTCCCTCTGGACTGGATGGCACACACGAGTAAATTAAGTAGAAAAATGTCATGTATATAGCCTCTTTAAAAATTGTTTTTTGGAAACCACAAGAAGAGAAATATGTTGCATTCCCTTATGTCATTTTACATCTTCACTGTCAGTAGACAATTGTGAACATATTTTGATCTGGCTTTTTTTCCTTAACTCAATAGACCTGGCACACATTCTACAAAGACAACTCTCTTCCTCTGCTTCAAGCTCTTTGCTTGTAGCTTGAACCTATTCGCTGGAACGTTGAGGACAATATAATTGCACAGCAAAGCAAGACACGGGTAGGCAAAATTCTTCATGTTTCTCGTGCACGGGAGAGACCGGACAGACGCCGTTCCTTCGCTTGACCCCAGTTGCTCTCTCCGTTCTCCCGTAACACTGCTCTTTTATTGAGGTTAAATGAATATGCATAGGGTCATTAACATATAACATCTCACATAGGTATACATGTAAACAAAGAATACTGTGTGTGTGTGTGTGTGTGTGTGTGTGTGGGGGGGGGGGTCAAAGTGTGACCCCATAAACGACTTCCTTAACCTGCTGGTCTGGAAAATCCAACAGTTCATCTAAACAAAAAGCACTTAGACTAGAACAGACGTAGCTACGTTAATCCTACCATAAAACAATAAAACAAGGTACGACCTCTCCATGCTCCTAGGATGTAGGTGTGAATTCCAGTGTGGAATACACACCAAGCCTTTGCAGCCTGCTAAAGATCACAGTCCTATCACTACACAATTGATTATACACCTCTAAGCATATATGGTTAAATATTTCTAAGCATAAATGACAATCAACAATACAAAACCTAACAGAAGCGCAAATACTTATCTCAGTCAGAAAGCAACGCGTCCTTGACTGATGGACCCTCTTTAACTTATCAACTATGCATTTAACAACTAAACTTGTATTGGATGTTGTGTTTGTGTTGGTGCTTAAAAATTATAGTATAGTTCATAGGCGTGTCACTATAAATGTTTGTTTAATGTATGTTTCCAAATTTGCAGTATTGATGGAGCACTTGAAGATGGGTCATTTGGGTGACTAGTAAACGATGAACACAGGACACCAAATTGCAGAATGAAGTTGATTGAAGCAGAAGGGAAGCCACATCTCTGCCTTTTTGCACTGAAGGAAAGTGAAATTACTTATGACTATGGTGGGAAAGAATGGCCCTGGCGGAAAAAGGTGGATCTGTTATATAAAGATAAAGCAAAATGCACAAATGTTTAATTATATTTAAGAGAGTATCAACATGTATGAAGTAAACTGCCCTCAAGTCTGTTTGTCATTCTGTAATTACACATATACACACAAACTTGGAAGATGATGTTTGATGATAATAAACCCTTTGAGTAAACATTGCATCAAACTTGCAAACTTCTTACAATGTCAATATAGGAAGCCCAATAAGGTACTGGGTCTGATTAATCCAGACCTATTCCAATAGATCAATCAGGCAATTTGCAATACAAATGCTTGATGGTGTCTCTACACATTTTCAATGACTTTTTAGTAGAAGTCCTTTTTATCTCAATCCTTATTAATTAATGTAGGATAAACATTTTAGCTTTTCTGTTTCTCACTAGATCATTCTGCCAGAAGTCTTTGAGCCAAGAATGCATTCTGAAACATGGCCTATGTGGCCCATAATGAGTAGTTTGGTCAGGTCAATTTAAGATAAGATATCCTTTATATCTATATATATATATATATATCTATATATATATATCTATTAAATATATATATATATATATATATATATATATAGAGTTTACTAATTAGTCTGTTTTTAAAATAACAATGTTTTATATCTCAAATCTGATGAAAAAAATTGATTATTAGGATGATGCAGTATATCATATTCATAAGTTTAAAATGTGTCTTAAACTTAAAAAAAAATCTGCTTTTTATTCTGAATTATGCGTTGGTTTTAAATTCACTTTATGCTTGTTTATATTTAGTGGTCTTAGTGAATATAATTTGTGACGTGTGGGATCGCTACTTTTTAAATTATAACTTAATGAATCATCGGTTGTTGTCTAATGCTGTGGTTTCTTTGTATTTGTAGAATGCCGTTGTGTGTGGCATAAGATCTGCCTCCAGACATCTTCAGAAGACTGGGATATGTCCGACGTAAGTGTACAGTGAAATTCAACCTGGAAAGACTCAGATACGGAGAAAGAATTAGACATTGAACATTAAATATTTGGCGGTCAGACCCCGGCGGGAAAACTGTTGATAAAAGCATTGCTGATTGAAGTAGGAGGTCTTCCCCGGGGTCTGGACACTGGTGGTGGTATGGAGGCAGGGGGCAAGCATGGGGGTGCAGGGGTGGTGGAGGGATGCGAAAACGCTGAGAGGCCGAGCTATGGGTGAAAGAGCTTAAATGCTCGGAAGCTGAATGGAGGCGTAGGTGCGAGGGAGCTCCGGATTGGCTGCGCCGGAGTGAGCAGCTGAAGGGAGTTGAGATGATGATGAAGATGGAGACGATGTGCAGGTGTGTCTCCCAGGTTGAATTTACGCAGGCTTCATTATAATATAGTTAATATTGACGTAGATGCAGTTCGTGAAGATTGCCACATGTTGCTTGCTCTTCCTTTTTCTTTCATCACAAAATTATAAGGATAATCAGTTTTGTAAGTGTTGTCTCAGATAGAGAATTGAAAGCAGAGAGATTTTGGACTGGATAGAGTGTAGAAGTTATGTGAGAGAGGCCAGAAATAAATAAACACATTGTAAAAATATTACTTAGATTTTATTATAATCCTTTGTAAAAAAAAACAACAAAAAAAAACCAAAACCGTTTCATACAATCTAGTCTCAAAGGTTTTACAAATTTTGATCTGTGGGGGTCATTGTGGGAGGGGCTCTGGGACCAGGTTAGGGCTGGTGTCTTAGTTTTTTTGTTTTGTGTTTGTTTTTTTTGTTAATGTCATTGTTCAAAAAATATAAATTGGATATTAGAAATGGGACAAATATCAAAAAAGTACTGAATCGATCACAGATTGCAAATTGATCAAGCAGAATCAAAATACTTGCACAAAATACATATCTGCTGCACATTTTCTTCTTTAAATCGGGAGGTATTTCTTAGTACTTTTAAGACATCTAGAGACTTTGGTTTACGTCCCGAGCTCTGTGACGTGAACAATTTAGCATTTATCCTTCCCATGTTTATTTCTGTTATTTAATCTATGCTGTATTTACGAACAGGGTGATGTCTCATCTGATGAAGAATACATCCCAAATTCTGCATCAGATTCAGAAAGCTCAGGAACAGAGTTGTCTATTGAGTTACCTGGACCATCAAAAAACTCCCATGCTGCTAGCATGCCTGATTTATGCGTTACTTTTGCTGAAAAAGAACAGACCATGGATGTTAAGAACAACTTTGAGCACATTTTGAATGATCTTGAAACTACTGATGATCTTCATCCCGACCAAGAACCAGACAGCTCAGAGTCATGCCAGCAGAAAACAAAAGATGCATGTAGCGAAAAGAGTACTGTGGATATTAGCCAAAATGAATCCCCAACCAAGTCAACAAAATTAATCAAAAGCACAGTCAATTTTGTTTTGTGTGTGGAAAACCTCAAACAAAATTTGCACGTCATCTGGAGACGCATGTAAATGAAAATGCTGAAGTCGCCCAGGTGCTTCAGTTACCCAAATCATCAAAGGACAGAAAAGTTCATCTTGAAAGGTTACGAAACCTTGGTAACTTCAAGCACAACTCTGCTGTTAAAACCACAGGATCAGGTTGTCTTAAAGTGAAAAGGATCTCAAAAAAGAGCAGCAGCAGCGCTGAGACATACGAGTACTGCTTATACTGTAAGGGTATGATATCCAGAAAAGAAGTTTCTCGGCATATGAAAAGATGTGCTTTAAGACCAGAGAATAATGCTGAAGAGAAGCTGAAAGATAGAGTCTTTGGTATAGCATCTACTCAATCCACAATGTCTCAGCCAATTTCAAGTGAACTCTACTCAGTACTGGGCAAGATGCACAAGGATGATGTGTCTAGTGCAATAAGGAATGATCATTATATTATGCAGTTGGCTCAGTCTCTTTTTAATAAGCATGGAAGTGACAGATCAAAGCATGAGTATATAAGACAGAAAGTAAGGGAACTTGGGAGATTACTTGTGACTTTGCGTCACACAACAAGAATCCATAATATGGAAGAGGCAATAAAACCAGCCAACTTCTTTATTCTTACTAATGCTGTCAAGAGAGTTTCAGGTTTTGATACTGAAACCAGCACATTCAAAGCCCCAAGTTTAGCCCTGAAGCTTGGACATTCTCTCAGAAAAATAAGTGATATTATCATGTGTCGTGCTCTCATGGAAGAGGATCAAGAGGCTCAATCAGGAGGTTTCACACACTTCATGAAACAAAGTGGTCTGAATTAGTTTCCCATTCAGCCTTATCAAACCTGAGTGAGGCAAAATACAACACGGTCGACAGCCTTCCACTGACCAGAGATGTTCAGAAGCTGCAGTTATATCTTGGTCAGCAAGTGGAATCGGCTAGGGAGAAACTAGGTGATAACCCAACAGCAGGAACTTATGCAGCACTAGCAAAGGTGATCCTTTGTCAAGTGATTTTGTTCAATAGGAGGAGGGAAGGTGAAGTAGCACGTATGACTGTCAAAAATTTTGAAGATCGTGACATGTCCAAACCAAACGATGACATCAGCTCTGGGCTTACAGAAGTTGAGAAAAGGCTTTGCCAACAGTTTGCCAGAGTGG